TATGGTCTTGGGGCGCTGAAAATACTGCACTTTAACAGGCTTCTGAACCCAAGCGCAGGTGCAGACAATTAGAGGGAAGATGGCGAATGTAACGAACGAGATGCAGCTTCCACCAAATTTGGTGAGATCCTTATTTATCTACCCGTTTGCCAGAAGAACATCCCTGTTGTAGGATATGAAAATTTCATGTCATGGTTATTGTGACTGTGACGAATCCACATCCTCTAACTTTGCGCGCCACACACACATTCCTGTTATACTGTGTTTGTGAGGACCAATCCGCTCGCGCTGAGCCAAGTAGCTCCATTAACTTAAAACACACAAGCTGTCCTGGTTACCTGCTGGCATATTGAGGGTGCACACTTAATATTTCAGCGGGGTTAGCCGTGTGTTTGTGTGTGGGGGGGGGGTGTACGTGTTTATGCTATGGGGACTTGTCATCTTCAGTCTGGCTGCGTCTTTGCTGGGTTCAAACCCAGTTTGGTGTAATTGAATAAGTCAATGAATCTGTGTAAAATAATTAAGTTGTAAAAACTATTTGTTTTTGTACATCAATTGTTTGTGGATGTAATATATGGACTAAACTGATTTATGAGAAGAAATCAGAAATAAGAGAGCCTGAGGTGAGGGGCTTAAACTATTTAATGAGGGCTGTGGGAAGAAAAGCGGCAATTTTTGTTTTCTGTTTCTTTGTTACATTGCTGGTAACTGGAGGGAGGCTGAGGCCCAGAGTATCTTGTATGTTTAGTTTCTTTCGCACCCTGTTTTGAGTTTTTGAGCACAATAAATCACCAACACCTGTAACCCGGCTGAGCCTGGATTCTTGGAGGCCAAAGAACCCCGTCACAGTGACCCAAATCATCACTGTTACTGTTATTATATAGTAAATTAAATCATTACTGTTAAATTGTATGTATTGTCCAACTGTTTATTTGAATTCTTATTCCGGATTAGTTGGAGACATACACTAGGCTATATCAGCCCCACCAAAAATATTTTTCACCAGCCGCCACTGACATGTCCCTACCAAAATTTTGAACCGACCTAATTGTCCCTACCAATAATTGGATGTGAGCAACATGTTTATAATTTACAGCAGTAGTTGTTGCAGCAGTAGCTTCTTTTCCTCTCGCAGCTCCTCTGCCTGGTCTCTCCTGTCCCTTTCACGCAGCAGCGCATGGAACTGTGCTGCGCTGTTTAACTCCACTCTCATTGGTTGTTCTGCCTTAGGTTCCGCCTTCTCTCTCTCTGATTGGCTGTTTTCTAGTCCTGGTGTGCTTGGAGCACAAAATTGAAAATTGATTCACACCAGAATGCTGCGGTTACTACAATAAATATTAGGCTACAAAACTAGTCCCAATTAAAAATAATGAATATCATGTACACTAAAAAACAAAAACCTTTTTTTTCTTTTATAAAGCGAAATATTCTGAGTCAGCCAGGAGTTCTGAAGACACAAAATGGGCAAATAAAGGCTGTAAGCCATCAACATTTCTAATTCTTATCCACAGCCAACTAAAAAAGAAAAAGTGAGTGTTTCCTTTTTACCAATATTTAGTTGCTATTACTGGTTTCATTTTTTTATGACTCTTTGAGAAAGTTCAGGTATAATTATTAGCAGGTGTTATTTATCTTATAGAGTACAACAACAAGAAATGGGGCCTAAACATCTGCTGTTTTTCGTTTAAAAAGCATAATTAGGGTTCCACATAATAATAGTTCTATTTTATTGGCTATTTATACTTCTAGAAATAGGATAAAGACAAGAACAAACAAAGGAAGAATATAAACATTGATTTTATCTTACATAGATTTCCACACAGTCTATAAGTAAATTAGTACAAACATTAATGTCTGGTAAAAATGCTTGAATCTGGCTGTTTATTTTGGATAATGTTAAATTACAGATAAGATAGTGTTATATTGTCTTTTATAATTGTTAAAAATTATTTTATATTTGAATACACTTAGGCTCATTCTTAGTTTTGTGTTTGTAGATGATGCCTCTAAAAAAGAAAATACAGTAAGGAGCTATTTAAACAGTCAGACAGTAAGCAATATAGGACAATGATAAAAGGTTGTGTTACATTTAATCCTTTACTATTAAAAACACAGTTATACATTATATGATTATAGGAAACACAGATATCCAGTAATAATGATGCAGGGCAGCTTGTAGGTGAAGCAGCTGGCCCTTCAGTGCTTCAGGTGATGTCTAAATAAACCAGGTGAAACTAAAATATTTCCACATGGATGTAGAATATTGACAGACAAAACAGTTTTTTTAATCTTATATAATATATATATATTGTATTTTTACAATTTTTGTATAATTACTGATCTAAGTGGATTGCTCTGTAGGGGAAAGGGACATTTTACATTTATATCTTGTTTTATAGTCTCCATTCTCCAGTTAATGATTAATCACATACTAAATTAGTTGACGATTATTGAAATAATCAATTAATACGATTAATTTTTTCAGCCTTAGATAAAATAGATTAAATGGGCTATACAGAGTAACTACAGCCCAGATGTTCAACTTTTATAGTGAAGTTAATATTTTAATGAATGTATTATTTTGCTTGATACAGAGAGCATAGTAGGTAAATATAAGAGTGGGGTTTAACTCTGCACAATTGTATATCTTCAAAAGAAAATACTGTATTTACCTTCTCTATTAGTCATGCAAATGAAACCATTTACAAAGTGGAAAACAGTCCTAATTCCACATTCATCAGAGCCTGTGATACTTCAAACATTGATAAACAGCATCTAATGAGTGTAGTGCTTATACAATTTTTATTAATGTAGCCAAAATGATGCTTTTCTCTTTTAACAATGAATTCGTCTTATCAGTACGGATGCTCACATCGAGCATAAAAAAGGGCATGCATATTGCATAGCACCAATGACACCAGACCAATAGTGTCCCCACCAAAGTTCAAATCAAACCTACGCCCTTGCCTTGATTTGGGTTTCCAGCTCTTAACCAAGAGCTGCAAGGGAATCCAGAGAAGAGTCTTCAGGTTTGGCTCATGAGGGCAGGCTCGGCAGGTTAAGCTCATCCAGAGCTTCACAAAGAGACAGGATTCCTGTGAGGCAAAAACAAGGAAGAGTTAGAATCTTATCTCAACTAGAGATAGCAAAGATTCTCAGGTTTACTAGGCTCAGGTTGCTAACCAAACTAGATCAACACTGCGGCGTTGAGGCAAGGTCTGAAGGTAGGTTATATACTGGAGGATCATCTGATGATGAGATGCGCCACAGGTGTGTTGGGGGCTCAGCTCAGGAGGACCCACGGAGCACTCTGCTGGAGGAAGGTGGTACAGCTCCAGATCCCAACAGTAGGGAAATTTTAAATCATTCTGGCTTAAACAAGTATTTGAATGTTCTCTTTATCAGACCACGTTGTCCCAGAAGTTAAACAATATTTAATAGATATAAATCTATTTCAACAAAAAAATCCTGAAGAAGGTGAGAAGTCTTAAAATCTCCTCCTCTTGCAGATTTTAAGACTTCTCACCTTCTTCCAGTCTGAGGTTTTGTAGCCTCCACACCACACAGTGAGACAGCTGGTGAGAACGCTCTCCATGGTGCTTCTGTATAAAGTGGTGAGGATGGGTGGGGGCAGGTGGGCTCCACCCCTCCTGTTTTTTAGCATAAACTATAAAAACTTAAAGAAATTATTTTCAGAGTTCCATCAATCTTTCAGTTTTCCACAGTGGTGTCAAAAGTACACACATTTCTTACTTAAGTACAAGTATAGATACTGCAGCTTAATAACACTCTGATAAAAGTATCAACTTGACCTCTTTACTCAAGTAAAAGTGAAAAAGTATGTGCACCTAAACCTACTTAAAATATAAAAGTATAAAGTAACCTTTAAAAAAAACCTGCCAGATGCCACTATATGAATGGAAAGCTAATTTTTTGGACTATATCTAAAAATTCTTTGAGATAGGGCCAAGGATGAGGGAGGTCTTGCTGGTCCCAATATGCTCTTACCTGTGTTTCATTTCAACATCTTTTTCTGAATTTGATGGCGCAAATGACGTGAAATAAATATTTATAAACATTAAACTGAAGCCAAAACTAACGAGTAATGTTTGTTTTAAAAATGTCAGGAATAGAAAGAACAGAAACTTGTCTGAAAATGTAATGAGAAGAAGTCAGAAGTAGGGAAGAAAAATAAGTAACTGAGTAAAGTATAGATGCCTAATAAGTGTACTTAAGTACAGTAACAAAGTATTTTTACTTTGTTACTTGACACCTCTGGTTTTCAATTACTTTGGCACCTTTCTTGAAATGTATTATTTCTGTTTCATTCATTTTATTCACCAACATGACCTGTTGCAGTCTTATGAATATTCTTTTAGGTATTTTCCAAACCCTTTCTTAAATCAGGAAGACTCTTTATCTATAGTGACTTTTTTTTCCCAGGCTGCCCATAAAGAAAATCCTGTAAGGAGTGGCATGAATCCCCTTTGACCTCTAATAATAAAACTGACGTGCATTATGTTATCATCCAGAATGGATATTTCCACCTGATTAGATTTTCCTCACTTACAGCTATTTTTTAGGAACTTTTCTCCCCTGTCTCCACTGTGTAATGCTCTTTAGATTGTGTCATTTCCTGTTGTCTGGGTGAAGCTGCCTCATCTGAAGGTTTTCAGCCTTTGAAACAGGAGGAGACCTTAATTGCGAAAGTGAAAGTAAATATGTCACTTTCTATGGGGGAGGAGATCTGCGTCAGTGCGGTGCAGAAGCATTTTAAGGAGCTCTGCTGCACGGTGGGCTCCGGACACTTTATGCTAACCTTTTCTGAAGCATGAATAACCTGTTGAGAAACTCAGCAATCGCCTGTTGTCTTTGTTTTTTGGACAAGCTTATGTCAGATGAAAAGAAAAGCTCGCTTGCAATACTCATTTTGTGAATAAGAACAATCGTTTACGTGGACATAGCCGGACAGTAGAAACTGATTTTTTTTTTTTTTTTTTTTTTTTTTTGGAAAACATCAGAGAAAGTCTGCGTGGAAACACTTTGGATCTGCGGACATTTTGGACTCGTTCAATGAGAACCAGGTAGCTAATTGCGCATGCCCTGCAAACAGAAACTTTCATTAATAATTATGTTTTTGAGTGCTTATAAACAGCCTCGTTGATCATCTTATTTACTCACTTTATTTTTTTATAATTTTGCCAAAAGTAGATACACAGATCAATCAAAATACATAAATAAATTAATCAATTAATCAATCAATAAATAAGGATACCTTCTGTTTTTTGGTTGCATTTTATTGTGCGTTTAACAATAAAAAAACATTAATTTAGAATTTAGATTTTAGTTTGTTAAACAAATTTTTAATTTCTATAACCTGTACAGATTCGAGCAAAGTTTAAACAAGAACAATAAAGGATGATTTCCCATATTTTTTCCAAAATATTTCCCAGATTTTGGCCAATCGCTCATATTGGAAAGCAAATCTAAATTAATGGTCCTGAGTTTCACCTTTTTGGTCTGCCATATAACCCACCTGCATGGACGGAGTCATTAATAATAATATCATTAAAAATCTTATTTAAAGAACCTTTGGTACGGAAGAGGATTAGGGCCACTGGAAAAAAAAAAGTTAATTGATTTTTACTTTTTATTTCAGTTTAACATGGGGAAAAGTCAGAATTCTGACTTTAATCTCAGAATTCTGACTTTAATCTCAGAATTCTGACAGATAACAAACATGTTAGCATCAAGCCATAGCCATGTCTGTTTTTGAGACTAGCTCTCTTGTTTTAATGACCTTCTGCTCCTCCATTAATGAGGGGACCCCTCGGGCGTAAAAAGTTGCCTAATTCCGTCATTTTTCACCAATGTGTCACTGGCCCTCTCAAACAACTCTCATCTTTGTCCCACATCTCTTCCTTCATGGTGCCCATCTACATTAAGATCCAAAATTCTGAGATTAAAGTCAGAATTCTGAGAAAAAAGTCAGAATTCTGAGATTAAAGTCAGAATTCTGAGAAAAAAGTCAGAATTAGGGCCACTGAAACAAACAAAAAAAATTAACTGATTTTTACATTTTCTTTCAGTTTAATATGGGGAAAAAACTCAGAGTTCTGACAAAAAAGTCAGAATTCTGAGGCTCTAAAACATAATATAAATGTAAAATGGGCCTTTCCCCGACAGAACAACCCACCTAGATCTGTAATTATACCAAAATTGTAAAAAAAATAAAATAAAATGTAAACATTTTGCATATTAGATTAAAAAAAATGATTTTTGTCTGCCAATATTCTCCATCCAGAACTCATCAAGAGGAAATATTTTATTTTCACCTGGTTTAATGTCATTAATAATCTTCGTTAAAGAACCTTTGGCTATCCAATTAATCGATTAATCAAAAAAAATTAACGACGGACTAATCAATTTTCCAAAATAATTGTTAGTTGCTGCCCTAATTTTATCGTAACATTGGAAACTCATTTCTTACTAAATACATGTGAAGTGGAGATAATAGCCAACCAAACAAACATTTTAATCAGGCAAACTAATTTAAAATCCATGTGGCATCATTTGTGAGCTCCAAAAGAGATCACAGAACCCAATTACTCATACTGAAAAAAACAACCCAAAAAACCCCCTTACCTGAAGCCCTGAAGGTTCGGACACTTCTTTCTCTACCTGTGCTGCAACATCACTCCTTATTGTTTGAGTTCCCTAAATCCAGCCATATCAAATACAAATTGATATTTTTATTGTATATGGATAAAAAAAGTTGCTCCTTATTTTGTAATTAAAATCATCACCTGAAGCACTGAAGGGCAGCTGCTTCACCTACAAGCTGCCCTGCATCCTTATAACTGAATATCTGTGTTTCCTATAATAATATGACGTATAAGTGTGTTATTAATATAAAAGGATTAAATGAAACACAACCTTTTATATCATCCTACATTGCTTACTGACTGACTGTTAATGTAGCTCCTTATGTATATTTTCTTTTTTAGTGGCATCATCTCTAAAGCGCAACACTAACAATGAGCCTAAGTTTATTCAAATATAAAATCATTTTTAACGATGATAAAAGATAATATAACACTGTCTTATTTTTAATGTAATGATATCCGAAATAAACAGCCAGATTCAAGCATTATTTACCAGACAATGTTTGCACTAGTTTACTTATAGACTGTGTGGAAATCTATGTGAGATAAAATCAATGTTAATAGTGTTCCTCTGTTTGTTCTTGTCTTTATCCTTTTTCTAGAAGTAGAAATAGTCAATTAAATATTACTATTATTATCTGGAACCCTAAATATGCTACTTAAACAAAAAATAGCAAATGTTTATGCGCCGTCTCTTGTTGTTATACTCATAATTATACCTGAACTTCCTCAAAGAGTCATCAAAAAATTAAAACAGTAACAGCAACTAAATGTTGCTATTACTCCGCCTGTGCCCACGTGCTCTAATTTGAGATTATTGACATTTTCGTTTGCCATCCAGTGTTTTCATTGAAATCTGATGATCCATAAAACAAGATGCAAGTTTTTGTATTTCAGTTACTTGCAGTAGGCACAAATCATAACATGACAGCAAACGTGAGTTCTCCTCAACTGCGTATTTTATGCTGAACTGAAAAAAAGAGCAGAGTTATGTTTTTATTATTTTTTAATAAAATCAAATAAAGTATATCTATTGAATGACAGTTTGTTTGAGCATTTCTAGCAGGTGTTCACATCTGAAAGACATTTTTTTATAAAATAAGATATCTTTTGTAATTCCTTAAATTATTTAAAGTTAGAGTGATAGATTAAAGAAAATGACTGGAAAAAATGAAGCTGATTCCACAGACGTGGAATAAAAAAGAAAAGGAGTGTTTTTAAACTTATATAAACATACTGTTAAAGTGGACCTGGTCTCGTAAAAGCTCATTTCATATGAATGAAGGTTTAAAGTATTATTACATTGCTAGGGTTGCAGTAACATAGAAGATCAGTTGTCAGAAGTGTTTGCTCATTAAAGTCACTGCTTCTTAAAAGGCTCAATGAAGATTAGGCTCATATTTTCAATTTAAACCTCCCATGTGAATGGCCTGTGTTTATTTCCTCAGAATGTATGTGTTTCTCAGTCTGGAAGCTAAGCTCTGTTCCTGCTTATCCTTCACTTTCTTTCACACCCTTTAAATCCCAGCGGTGGTTTCTCTGCATCTGTCATAATATACGAGTTGAATCCTAACCTTGGTTTGAAGAGAACCCGGCTTGTTTGAAGTGTTTCCATAATTAAGTAAGTGTTCGGTTTATCCAAGCTCTTTCTGCTCATTCATGTGAACCTAATCTAGTTTTTCTTCTTTTTGTTGTTAAACGAGAACGGTCCATAGTTTCCACGAACACCAACCTGTTTAATTAATAATCTGCTTTAAGTCGTCATTCCAACATGGTTTTTAAAATAATTCAGTGTCGATCCAGCGTATGATCTTTATACATTACAATGTTGGACAATGTATTTGACTTTTTTTGCTCTTTTTGCATTTAACTTTTTTTTTTTACTCAGAAAACATGGCATGTATTGCAGAAGAGGAACAGAATGTGTTGGTGACAGAGTCAAACAAAAATATAAAAAGAGAAAAAAAAGAGAAAAAATGAAAAACCTAGGTAAAATGGCTATTACTACCTACTACTTATTGCATTATGGATTCGGATAGTACCGTTGAAGCTACGGGAGCAAACATTAGTGCTACAAACTTTTGCTTTCTTTAACATTTTTGGAATATAAGCACGAAATAGTATTGATTACGGACGAATCATGTGATGAATGTCACATGACATGGACAGCTAGCTTTGATTTTTGAAACAACAAACAACTGAGGAAGAAGGAAAATAAACAAATATTTTAGTAATCAATTAACCTATCAATTGCTTTATCTACTAATCAATTAATTTGAACAATTAACCTATCAATTACTTTATCTACTAATCACTTGATCTAAACAATTAACCTATCAATTATTTTCTTTAATAATCAATTAATATAAATAGGGCTGCAACAACGAATCGATAAAATCGATAAAAATCTACTTTTAAAAGCGTTGGCAACGAATTTCATCATCGCGCGAATTGTGTCGCGCGATTAATGCGTCATACGCCACCGTCGTCATCACATCCACTTGGCTGAAACAGGGGAAGAAAAAAAAAATACGGCCGCGCTGCAGGTGCAGTGTTGCCAACTCAGCGACTTTGTTGCTATATTTTGCGACTTTTCAGACCCCTCCAGCGACTAATTTTCAAAAAAGCGACTAGCGACAAATCTGGCGACTTTTTACGGTGTCACTGGCGGCTTTTGGAGACTCTTACGTGAAAGCATGTATCGTTCCTACTCTGCCGTGGGGCGCCTCCCCCACACCAACCGCGTTTTCCGTCTCCCGCAGGAGTCCCTCTCAGCGCTGCAGTCAGAGCCGCAGGATGTTTACCCTCAGCGTCCAGACTGTAAATGAAGCGCGCATGCGCCGGGATTGACGGCGCAAATTGATCACAATAATTAAAGTAGCCTGCGCTTTGTAAAGTGAAAAAAGTCGTAACATGCAGCTTTTGTAAAAACAAATGAACATGGCACGGAAGCACCACTGTTATGATGCAGCACCTGAAAAGAAAACACGTTGGAGCCTTCAATGGCAGTGAAGAGAGCTGATCAGCAGGGTGAGCGACCATGTTTGTTTGGTTTTAAAGTTGGGAAACGTAACGTTAGTTTCTCAAGTAGCTCATCTGATGCTTTCCTTACCGTCTTAGTAGGTTACAGACAGGGATAAGGTTGGCTAATTATTTTACTTTTAATTTCATTTGAATTAGCTTAAGCAGCGTTTATATTTTCTTTATAAATAAATTAACTTGCAAATTATGAAGGCAAGGCTTTTAAAGTTTAAATCTTCTGGTAAAAAAAAATTTATGGAAGTAAAGCAGAATAAAATCCAGCAAGATCAGTAATATGTCAAATAATTATCTGCCACATTCCCATGTAAATATCTGTCTTTGGAGGATGTGTTTTTTAGCACACCTAGTTCTCTCATTTTTATTCCAAATACAATTTA